CCATCCAGCACCCACCCAGATCCCTTCAAACCCCCCTAGGACCCAAAAGCAAACCTCCCCCCCAATCCTCACAGCCCTCCAAATTTCCCTAGAACCCCAAAGAAGCCCCCCATGACCCTCCAGAACCTCCAAGAAGCCTGCTAGGACCCTCCAAAACCCCCTAGGACCCCAAGGCAGCCCACCATGACTCTCCAAACCCCCCAGGACGCCAAAGAAGCCCCCCCCCCAGGACCCCAAAGAATACCTCCAGGACCCTCCCCGGTTCTCCCAACACTCTCCAAACTCCCTTAGGACCCTCCAGAATCCCCTAGGGCCCCAAGGCAGCCCCCCCATGACTCTCCAAACCCCCCAGGATGCCAAAGCAGCCCCCCAGGACCCCAAAGAATACCTCCAGGACTCCCCCCCAGTGTTGGGGGAACTGGGGGGGATCCTGGAGGTATTCTTTGGGGGGTCCTCCAAACTCCCTTAGGAGCCTCCAGGACCCTCAGAAAGCACCCCCAGGACCCTCCAAACCTTCCAGGATCCCTAAGAAACCTTCCACCCCAACTCTCCCCCACCCCCCACCCCCAGGGAACCCACCAGCGTTGATCTTCTCGGCGATCTGCTCCATGGTCAGCTTGCGGTCCGTCATGTGCTTGCGGTCGAGCTCGATGCGGAGCAGCCAGGGAGAGATGCGGCTGACATCGAAGTCGGGCATCTCGTAGTACACGTTGACCCACTCCTGGTCCTCGGCCACCACCGTGCTCTGCGGGTTGGGGTCGTAGTAGATGGCAGTGTTGGCTGTCACCTTGCGCAGGGTGGTGTGCTCCAGGCGGCACAGGATGTCCTGGGGGTGGGTGGAAAAAATGGGTGGGTGGTCACCATCAGGTCATGAGGACACATTGAGTCGTGGGGCCACAAAGGGTCGTGAGGATGTGGAGCCATGTGGCCACCACCATAGGGCTATGAGGACACAGACACAGGGCCAGCATCAGGCTGTAAGGACATGGGGCCATCATTGGGCCACCAGGTGGCCATGATGTCACAGAGACACATAGAGTCACGGGGACACCAATGGGCCATGAGGACATGGGGCCACCACAGGACCACCATCAGGCCACGAGGACATGGGGTCACCATTGGGCCATAAAAATGTGTGGCCAAAATTGGGCCAGCATAGGGCCACGAGGACAGCCCAGGATCACAGAGCCACAAGGCCACTGCAGGGCCACGAGGACATGGGCCACCAAAGGACCACCAGGGCACAGGGCCATGGGGTCAGAAGGATGTGGGGCCACCACTGGGCCACCATCAGGACACAAGGACACGGGCCACCACGGGACCACCAGGACACAGAAACACAGGGTCACGAGGACATGGAGCCCCCACAGGGCCACGTGGCCACCACCATAGGGCTATGAGGACACAGACAGAGCCAGCATGAGGCTGTAAGGACATGTGGCCATCAATGGGCCACCATGGGGCCACGATGCCACAGAGACATGTAGAGTCACGGGGACACCAATGGGCCACGAGGCCCTGGGGCCACTAAAGGACCACCATCAGGCCACGAGGCTCTGGGGCCAAAGGACCACCATCAGGCCACGAGGACATGGGGCCACCAGAGGACCACCAGGACACGGAGCCACGAGGCCACCACGGGGCTGCCCCCAGGTCCCACCTTGGCACGTTCAGCATCGCGGGCGCTCTGGCCCAGCAGGAAGACCGTGAGCGATGGAGTTTTGGGTTTCTTGGAGATGTTGATGAGCTCCTTCAGCCGTGGGACGCCCAGCGTCACGTTCTTGGCTGACACACCAGCGTAGTGGAAGGTGTTGAGGGTCATCTGCGTGGCCGGTTCCCCCAGGGACTGCGCTGCCAGTGCGCCCACCATCTCGCCGGGGTGAGCCTGGAGGGGTCAGAATCACGTCCTAAAAAGGTCCTAAAGGTGGTCCTGGACCCCACCGCCAGGTTCTAGCCCCCAAGGGTACCGAATGTGGTCCCAAAGTGCTCCAAAGTGGTCCTGGACACCAAAATCTGACCCCACATCTCCACGGGGAGCAACTGGGACACACTGGGGGATGCCAAGACCACTGAATGACCCCAAATCAGTCCCTATATCCTCCAAATACGACCCTCCACCTTCACTGGGAGACATGGGGACAATGGGGGGAACACCAAGACCCCAGATCTGACCCTATATCCCCCAAATCCGATCCTCCACCACTATGGAGAGCCACTGGGACACACAGGGGGACCCCCCAAAACACCTGATGCACTCAATTCCATCCCTATATCCCACCCAGTCTGATCTTACATCTCCATGGGGACAATTTGGGACACACGGAAGGACCCCAAGACCACTGAATGACCCCAAATCAGTCCCCATAGCCTCCAAACAGGGCACTCCTCCTTCACTGGGAGACACGGGGACACATGGGGGGGGAACATCAAGACCACCTGATGACCCCAAATCTGACCCTCCACCTCTATGGAGAGCCACGGGGACACACAGGGGGATCCCCAGAACACCTGATGCACCCAAATCCATCTGTACATTCCCCCACCCCCCCAGTCTGACCCCACATCTCCATGGGGAACAACTTGGACACACTGAGGGATGCCAAGACCACCGAATGACCCCAAATCAGTCCCTATACCCTCCAAATATGGCCCTCCACCTTCACTGGGAGACATGGGAACAATGGGGGGAACCAAGACCGACTGATGACCCCAGATCTGACCCTAAGTCCCCCAAATCTGACCCTCCACCTCTACGGGGAGCCACTGAGACACACGGGAGGACCCCCCCCCAGACCCCCCCACCCCCCGCATCTCGCTCACGATGGCCTGGTTGAACTTGGACTCGATCTCCCCCAGCAGCCAGTCGAACGCCTCCCCGCTCAGCCTGAACTCCTCCACCATGCGGCGGCTGCAGAGCGTGGAGCGCAGGTGGATGTTGAAGAGCAGCGTGGCGTTTTCCTGCGCCTGCCTGCTCAGAGGGTCCTCCCCATTGACGATCACCAGCTTACGGCTCAGCTCCTTCACGCCTGGAATTGGGGAGGGGGAGACAAGGGGAGGGGCCCCAGGTCACTTCAGAGCTGTTACTGGGGTCCGTGGATCATCCGATGCCTCCCTTATGGGGTCCCTGAGTTCCTTCTAGGGGGTCCCTGAGGTCTCCAAGTTCCTTCTGGGGGTCCCTGGGCTCCTCCTGTGGACCTCAAGTTCCTTCTGAGGGTCCCTGAGCAACTCCTGGGGTCTTCAAGTTTGTTCTGGGGGTCCCTGAGCTCTTTCTGGGGCCCTCAAGTTCCTCCTTGGGGTCCCTGAGCTCCTTATGGGGTCCTCAAGCTCCTCCTTGGGGTCCCTAAGCACATTCTTTGAGTCTTCAGGTTCCTGCTGGGGGTCCCTGAGCTCCTTCTTGGGGTCAACTTCCTTCTGGAGGGCATCCAAGCTCCTTAGGGGATCCTCAAGTTCCTCCTGGGGGGTCCTCGAGTTCTTTCTGGGAGGTCCCTGAGCTCTTTCTAGGGTCCTTAAGTTCCTTCTTGGGGTCCCTGAGCTCCTCCTTGCATTATCCAAACTTTCTGGGAGTCTTCAAGTTCTTTCTGGGGGTCCCTTAGCTTACCCTAGGGGTCCTCAAGTTCTTTCCTGGGGGTCCTCAAGTTCTTTTTGGGAATCCCTGAGCTCCTCCTGGGGTCCTCCAGTTTCTTCAAGGGGTCCCTGAGGTTTTTTTTTTTTTTTTAGGGGGGAGGGGGGGCATGGAGGGAAGGGGAGCAGATGGGGGCGTTTCTCAAGTCCCTTAAATCCCCCCTTGGTGTCTCCCAGCTCCTCCTAGGGGGTCTCCCAAAGCATTTTTGGGGTCCCCCCCATCTCACCTTCCACCACCTTGACGGGGTGCAGGTCGGAGGGCAGGCGTGAGTTGATGTGAAAGATCTTCTGAGCGTTCCAGATCATGCGCAGGAGGTTACAGGGGAGCACCACCTGCAGACCCCCCCCCCAATCAAACAGAAAAGACATCATGACCCCCGAAAAAGGGCCAGACCCCCCCCCATCCCCCTACTCCGAAGAGTGGGCAACAGAGCACCAAAGGGGGCAACAGACCCCCAAAAAGAGAGCTGCCTCCCAACCCCCCCCCACATATAGAGACCCCAATCAGGGTGACAACACCCTGACGTCTGGGTGACAGCACCCTGACAACACCCCAATGCCTTTGTTCTCAGCTCCCTGCAACCACCACCACCACCCCAACAACACCCTGACATCAGGGTGACAGTTTCCTAGAACAACACCCCCGCGATACCCGGACACCACAGCAGCGGTGGCTCCCAAACAACAATCACCTCCACAACCCCAAAACCACCACCATATCCCAAAACCACACCCCAAAGGAACAGCACCCCAAAAGGACGGCACCCCATTGGGGCGCTCATCGCACCGCAGCGACAACCTCCAGCTACACCCCGAAAAGGACCCACCAACAGCCACGGGGTGGGAACAGCCTCCCCAAAACCCCCCCTCCCCATCCCAAAACACAGCCCTGCCAACAGTCACAGGTGGCATCAGGCTGTCGGTGTCACCTTGCTGTCGCCGGTGGGGAAGATGACACGCAGCACCTCGCGGTCCTCGCGCATCCTCTCGAACTCCCGCTCCAGCTCGTTCTGGATGTGGGCATTGCTGAGGATGTCCTTCACCAGCTCCTCCTGCAGCGTCCGTCGCAGCGCACGCTCGTTGGTGTAGTCGAATTTGAACCTGGTGTGATGGAGAAAGGGGGGGTGATGTCAGTCGGACAGGGCAGACGGCGGCTGTGGGGCTGCGGAGACCAAAATGTGCCCTGATGTGGGGAGGGGTATCCTTAAGGGGCCCTAAAATGTGCTTTGATGTGGGGAGGAGCATCCTTAAGGGACCTAAAATGTGCCCTGATGTGGGGAAGAGAGGACAGGGGATCCTAAAATGTACCCTGATGTGGGAAGGAAGAGCATGGGGACCCCAAAATGTGCCCTGATGTGGGGAGGGGCATCCTTAAGGGGCCCTAAAATGTGCTCTGATGTGAGGAAGAGAAGACTGGGGACCCCAAAATGTGCCCTGATGTGAGGAAGTGAAGATTGGGGACCCTAAAATGTGCCCTGATGTGGGGAGGAGCAGCATGGGGACCCCAAAATGTGCCCTGATGTGGGGAGGGGCATCCTTAGGGAGGCCCAAAATGTGCTCTGATGGGACGAAGAGAGGATGGGGGATCCTGAAATATGCCCTGATGTGGGGAGGGCATTCTTAAGGGCCTCAAAATATGCCCTGGTGTGAGGGAGAGAGGATAGAGAACCCCAAGATGTGCCCTAATGTGGGGAAGAGAGGATAGGGGACCCTAAAAATGTGCCCTGATGTGAGGAGGAGGAGCACGGGGACCCCAAAATGTGCCCTGATAGGAGGAAGAGAGGATAGGGAACCCCAAAACATGCCCTAATGTGGGGAAGAGAGGATAGGGGACCCCAAAATGTGCCCTGATGTGTGGAAGAGAAGATTGGGGACCTCAAAACGTGCCCTGGTGAGGCAGAGGAGAGGACTGGGGACCCTAAAATGTGCCCTGATGTAAGGAGGAGGAGCATGAGGACCCCAAAACGTGCCCTAATGTGGGGAGGGGCATTCTTAAGGGCCTTAAAATGTGCCCTAATGTGAGGGAGAAAGGATAGGGAACCCCAAAATGTGCCCTGGTGTGGGGAGGAGCACAGGGACCTCAACACTTGCCCTGGTGTGGGGGAGGAGAGGACTGGGGACCCCAAAACATGCCCTGATGTGGGAAGGAGAAGAATGGGGACCCCAAAATGTCCCCTGATGTGAGGAAGAGAGGACTGGGGATGCTAAAATGTGCCCTGATGTGGGGAGGGGCATCCTTAGGGAGCCCCAGAATGTGCTCTGATGGGAGCAAGAGAGGACAGGGGACACCAAAATGTGCCCTGATGTGGGGAGGGGCATTCTTAAAGGCCTCAAAATGCCCTGGTATGAGGGAGAGAGAATAGGGAATCCCAAAATGTGCCCTAATACGGGGAGGAGGAGCACAGGGACCTCAATACTTGCCCTGGTGTGGGGGAGGAGAGGACTGGGGACCCCAAAATGTGCCCTGATGTGAGGAAGAGAGGACTGGGGACCCAAAAACATGCCTTGGTGGGGGGAGGTGCAACCAAAACCCAACCTGCCATGGAGAAGGGCAGCTCGGGGACCCCGTGATGGGATTTTGGGCTACTGGGGGGTCCTTACTTCTTCTCAAAGGCTTTGTTGGAAGGCTTGAGGGTGGCGAGGTTCTGGAACTCGACGCTCTCCCCTGCCAGCCCGTCCTCCCCGTAGCGCAGCTGCACCACCTGGTTGATGGAGTTGCGCACCGTGGCATCGTACTTCACCATCACCGACTCCATGGACTTGATCAGCCGGCGCTGGATGTACCCTGGGGGAGGGAAGGAAGGAAGGAAGTGAGGGGCAGGAGGTGGAGGGGGGGCACGGTCAGACCTGGGGATGGGGGGGGGGGAAGCCGGGGGTCCGAGGGGAGTTTTGAGGCAGGGTGTCAAAAAGCATCTGGGGCTGATCTGAGGGGTGGACACGGGTAAGCTCGCACCCACCCACAACAGGTGGGCACCCACCCGCGCTGCAGGGTGCCCCCACGTGGTGGCAGACCCCCTCCCTCCGTACTTGGACCCCCAAGCCCCCGGCAGCCGCTCACCGGTCTCGGCTGTCTTGACGGCGGTGTCGATCAGACCCTCGCGGCCGCCCATGGCGTGGAAGAAGAACTCGGTGGGGGTGAGCCCTGCCAGGTAGGAGTTCTCCACGAAGCCGCGGCTCTCGGGGCCGTAGTCGTCCTTGATGAAGTGGGGCAGCGTGCGGTGCTTGAACCCAAACGGGATCCGCTTCCCTTCCACGTTCTGCTGCCCCACCACGGCGATCACCTGCGAGCGGGGATGGGATGAGGGGGGTGCAGGTTGGGTGGCTGGGGGCACCCCAGGGTGCAAAATCCAACAGGAACGCGCCACAACCTCCAAGAGCTCCCAAAAACCAGACAAGAACCCCCAGGAGCCCCCAAAAACTGGGAGACGTTGGCCTTGGAGTACATGGACCATTGCCAGACCCCCCCCCAAAAGACCCCACTCCACCAGATCCACCAAACCCCACAGGAACCCTCCCCAACCCCACAGAGCTCCTCCAGTCCCCAAGGATCCCCAAGACCCCCTAGGAACCCCAAAGATGTCCCAGGATCCCCCAAAAACTGGGAAACATTGGCCTTGGACAACATGGACCATCACCAGACCCCCCCGAAAAAGACCCCACTCCATGAGATGCATCAAACCCCACAGGAACCATCCCCAACCCCACAGAGCTCCTCCAGTCCCCAAAGATCCCCAAGACCCCCTAGGAATCCCAAAGACACCCCAGGCTCCCCCACTATTTTGGAAATGTTGGCCTCGGAGTGGAGCCCATGAACCAGCCCCACAGACTGCCCCCCCCAAAAAACCCCCTCCATGAGATCCCCCAAACCTCACAGGAACTCTTTGCAACCCCACAGAGCTCCTCCAGCCCCCCAGGACTTTCAAGACCCCCCAGGACCCCCAAGCAGCCCCCAGGACCTGGGAGGTGTTCATCCAGGTGCTCCAGAACCATCCCCATAGACATCCAAAAAGACCCCACTCCACGAGATCCACCAAACCCTACAGGAACCCTCCCCAACCCCACAGAGCTCACGGGACCCCCAAGCCCACCCAGGACCCTCCCCAAATACCTGGGAGATGTTGATTTTGGACCCCTTGGCCCCCGAGACCACCATGGACTTGAAGTTGTTGTACTCGGACAGGGATTTCTGGGCAGAGGAGCCGGTTTTGTCGCGGGCGTCGTTGAGGATGCGGTTCACCTGGTTCTCAAAGGTCTGCCGCAGCGTGTTGCCTGGCGTGGGCTCCAGCTCGTTGTTGTGGGCCTTCTCAATCACCTGCAGCAGCCCAGGGTGGGATTGGGGACACAGAAGCCAAGAGAGGAGCGAGAAAAACCCAAAATGGGAGCAAAACCCCCAAAACGGCAGCAGAATCCCACCGAGAGCACCAAAATCCCACAGAGAGCACCAAAATCCCACCTAAGGACCCCAATATCCCAGAGAGACCCAAAATCCTGAAGAGGGGTGAGAAAAACCCAAGATGGGAGCAAAATCCCCAAAAGGGCAGCAGAATCCCACAGAGAGCACCAAAACCCCATATAAGGACCCCAATACCCCAGAGAGACCCAAAATCCGAGAGAGAGGTTAGAAAAAAACAAAATGGGAACAAAATCGCCAAAAAGGCAGCAGAATCCCACAGAGAGCACCAAAATCCCATATAAGGACCCCAATATCCCAGAGAGACCCAAAATCTCATAGAGATACACAAAATCTCATAAAGGAACCCAAAATCCCATAAACAGCCCCAAAAACCCATAGAGAGAGAAAGACTCAAAATCCCACTGAAGGACCCCAAATCCCTCCAGATCCCAAACTCCAACACCCAATAAACCCCAGACCCCAACCCCCCCACCAAGCTTCCCAATCCCCCTCCATCCCCCTCCACCCCCAACCCAGGAGCCCCCACCCCTCAACCCCCCCGCAGACCCCCAACCCACCCAGACCCCAAATCCCTCCCTGACCCTACACCTCCCAGTTCCCTCCAGACCCTCAAAAACCCCCCAAAATCCCTCAACCCCGTCCCCACTCACCCCAAATTCTCCCCAAATGCCCCACAGACCCCACAAATCT